ATGCAACTCCCAAGGTTTCCTCCAAGTCACGTTGTTGTACCACTGGCTTTCAACTCACCAGTACAACTTTTAAACCATTTGCAATTGGAGAATATTGATCTTGTTATAGAACAGAAACCCAAAGCATAACTCCCTCTTCCCCTACCACCTGCAATCAGACAACAATTATTACTTAAAGTCTTCACAGTAACATGTCAAACCATTTTAACCAGCTGAAGAGAAAAAAAGGTCTATCGTTCTGATGTTCTGATTCAACCTTTGTTCACATATGATTCATCCTTTAGTCAACTGCAAATGAATTTGAACAGAACACTCTTCTCAAAAAACACTAAGAACACATTGGCTGTGTTTGTGACTGAAATACAATCCTTTGCATTGTTTCTGTTTGCATTTATCTGAAACAAATACCTTTTTTAATCTACAGGACTCTGATAATTTTACTATGACTGTTAGTTATAAACTGAAGTCTCAAGATCAGACATAATGTATTACTTAACAACACATTTAATCATGAATTTAGGCTTCCAAAAAGTGTGGTTACTATTTAAAAATATTTATGGGAAGCTTGTTTTTATTTATTCTTTCAAAAAAGCAGAAGCACGGGACTAACAACATTTAGAATACAAGCAAATGGGGGAAGGAATTTAGTACAGGGATGACTTATCATTCTTATTCAAAGAGAAGATGAAATGCTTCTCTTTCACTATGTGAAATTACCTTTAGTTTAATATCAGTGTCAAATATGACATTTTCCTACGGTCTTCCTCACATATAGTAAAGTTTCTTTAGCTAATAACGGCATCAAGCTTTCTCCTGGGACTCCCTAGAAATTACATTCCGGAATGTACATATGCCTTAGCCAGGCTTGCAGAAGATAGAAAATGTAAATTGCTGTATTTGAGTTTGTATCTTCTTACAGCAAGTCACTGACAGTGCACCCACTAATTACTATTTGAACCGTGTGTTGCTGATCTCTGTATGCCTCTTAGAAAACAGCAGTCATGCCTATCAGCTCTGACTAGCAGACTTTTACATCCAGGACTCCAATTTTAACTTAAGTTAGAAAAAATTATAAAATTAGACACTATGGGAAAAAAAGAAACAGCAGCATTCATTTAAACCCTAAAATAATTTACAACACATTCTCAGACCCTGTTTTAAAGCACAATCTGTGTTACTTCCTGTTCATGCTCTCTAAATTACCTTTGGTCACACAGACTATTCAACAGTTTTTATCCTCATGGTTACAAGGAATACACCAACGTAGGCCAATGAACAATGAAAACTGTGGTATCTACTACACGTGCACAAAGCAATTATATTTTGCACATGCAGTTGTCTTGTTTACCCAGTGGCAGTGGAAAGTCTGCCCAGTGGATGCCACCACTCTGAAGGAACAAACATACTGAGGGAAGGGATTCTCTAAGTACATGAATCATTTTATACTAAGTTTGTTCAGTATATAAACCAGCTTTTTTCTAAAACATCACTCTGCAAAGTCAGTCTGGGAATATGGGAAACTTGCCTTTTCCTGTTTCTTTATCATTGAAAATCCTCAGTACCTAAACAGCATCTTATATTACAACTGTGCAAACCGGATGACAAGGTACACTTTGTACATTTTTAATGTGAAGCTTAATTTGAAGATGAGGTTGCAGTGCAGCATTACAACTGAAAATTGCTTAACAATACCATTGATGTATGAGCCATAAAAAACCTTGCTAAGCTGTCCCTGCAGAACCTGGAGTAATAAAAAGGTGTTCTTTTGCACTGAGGTGAACAGACATGGTTGACTGCATCTAGGGAGCTGTTCTGTTAAATGAGAAAGTGCCATTTCTTTCCTGTCAGTACAGACCAATTTAAGACACTCACAGATTTAGTTAGCACAGAGTACAGGATTTAATGAAATACACACATAACAGCAAACAAACCACAGCTATGTTCAAAGCTTTCAGTCAAATTGTGTGCAGAATTAAACTTACATCTATGACAGGTAAGGGGAAAAAAAACCCTAGAAACTTTTCTGGTCTTGCTCCTGCTTTTCAGTGAAACAATAAAAAAGCTGAATGGAAAAGATCTAAAACCTCTCACCTTCATTCCTTTTGAAGTATCTAGACATGAATTTCTCTCCATATCTAAGAGGCAATGTTACAGGTTTTCTCTCCAATTTCATTTCAGCTTTAAGATCAGCCAACAGATCCAGTTTACAAAACCCTAAGCTATCAGCAGAAGTGTCATAATATCTCTACTGTGAACTGATGCTTCTTCTCCAAATGACTCCTCCTTCAAGAGGAAAGGAGACACACAGGTCCAGTGAATTGACTGGGAAGCTGGTTCTCTACTTGAGAGATCCTTGGGTAGGCTGATTAAATCACACCAAATTGATTTAGTTTGTGCAGCTACACCTGTGTCTTTTCATATAAATAGTTTCAGAGAGCAATGAAAGTTAACTGGCTAACCTACATGCAACCTGTTAACAAGTGTTCACTAACACAACTGCCATGTTAGAAGCTGCAGTAACTCAGAATTAATTTCAGAAGATGTTGTGATACTGTTAGTTTGCCTAAGCAGTACCAAAATTAAAACTAAAAGGATTTGTTCTTTAAAAAAGCCCACAGAAATCTGCCTGATTTCCACAGTAAACCTATCACTAAATTTTGGATTTAGGGAGTAACAAATCTCACTAAGGAGACTTCTAGTTTCTTTTATATGAATGTAAAGTTACTATATTGAAGAATCAGCAATTTTTGTAGTTGTTTTCAGTATGAACAGCTATAAGAGAAGATTTAGCAAAATCTCAAAACTACCTCCAAAACAGTCTTATTGATCCACATATCAATTCAGTCTAGCTTTTGTAACATTAAAGGTACTTGACTAGCTGCTCAGTGAGAGATGCTATTCCATTTTTGAAGTTGCAATATTAATTAGCTAACTTCATTTTAATTTTATCATATACTATGTCTTGGTTTCCTGATTAAAGCACAGGAGAAGTTTCTTTTGGAAATATCAGATTCAAATGGTACACACTATTCTCAAATGTTTTACACATTTTGTAGCTCAAACCAAAACGTGGACAGTCATTTTGTTCAGCACAAAAACCAGACAGAAACTATGACTTCAATTTTGCAATGGCAATTTTACTGCAAACAACAAATGGATCAGTGCCTTCATCCTACTTGTCTACTCAACTTTCACCCCATCTCAAATTAGTGAGTATCTTTATGCTCATGTTACCTATTTAAAATCAACTTCTTGGAGCTGCTTTTCTCTGGTACCGTCACAGAACCCTTCCAACGCATCCTTTCTCCTCAGAAAATATTGCAGCCAGTACATCTAATGGCGTCCTCCCAGCCTGAACTGCTCTGTCTCCTCTTATTTACACTGGTATGCAAGTTCAGCACCATTTGCATCAGCACCTTTCCTGCCATTCGCACCATCTGCCTAGATATTGTATTCAAATTTCTTTCCAAGTCTTGTATTCTGGTTATATATTCCACAAATTCTTTTCTACAAATTTCCTGTAGTATAGTATCTTCATCCAACAACTGACAGTATTCTTGAGGTTCCCATTACCTCGATTCACGTTTTCCAAGTTACTGCTTTCTGGGATTGTCAAATAAGAGCAGGTCCTTCTTATGTCAATCACGAATGTTAGAATCATAGAATAGAATCGTTTAGGTTGGAAAAGACCTTTAAGATCATCCAGTCCAACCATTAACCTAACATTACCAAGTCCACACTAAACCAATTAAGGGTAGACTAGACTAAACCACGTCCCAAAGTGCCACGTCTACCCGTTTTTGAACACTTCCAGGGATGGTGACTCCACCACCTCTCTGGGCAGCCTGTTCCAATGCTTGAAATGTTGCTGCAGAGCATAATTCCAAACTCTGATGGTGTTATTCTCATGATTTGGTTTCCCTTTCTCTGCTGCCTCCTATAGAATCTGCTTTTAAGGTATTTCCCAAGCTAAGACCGGCTGTTTTCACCTTGGCATTTTCTCATATTCAGCTGAAATACTAACGGTCACCAGACTAGCCTCTGATGTTGGCACATGCTGTCTATGTGTTGCATGGTATGTTCACATGTTTGTGCCATCTTCTCCACTATCCTTCAGATTTTATTGATTCTCTCTTGTGAACACTGAGCAGACTTCTAAATTTATGCTTCTGAAAATCCTTCATTAAAACTTTCATTTACCTCACTTACTCACTACACTGCTTAGGGTTCCACCACATACAAAAATGGAATTGAAGATGAAGCATCTTGTTTAGGATTTTTTTCTGAAGAAAAACCCTCCAGTGAGGAGGCCTCCAGTACCATATAAAGATATATAAATATATACAATAACAACTTTTGTAAGAATAAAGCAGAACTATTTTAACCATCTTTAAAAGATCTTTATACCATCAACATGTTAAAAAATTCTGTCCAACATAACTTATTTCCTTCCTTATGTTCCTGCAAATATTTACTAAATTTTTTAGCCTGAAGATAATTGTTATTACTGTTTAAAACGTAGATAACATTAAAAAAAAAAACTTTATTAAAAAAACCCTAGTGAAACAGTATTGTCCTAGATACAATGACAATTAGCAATAAAGTTCTTTACACGCAAAGCCCACTTGGTTCGTGAAGATTTTATAACAAACTTGGCACCTTGCAGTTACTACAAAACATTACAGCAAAATCTTCCTTCGAAGTCAGGTACTAAAAAAATTGACATATGACTTCTGTACCAAAGTAACTTGCTCTGTCATCTAGCATCATTGTAAAATCACCATCTATATCTGCTGCATGTTAACAATTACGATGTGAATTTTTCACAAATATTTCAGCATTCCAATTTGACATACATTAATCAACGACATTCAAAATGCAGATTAGTAACATGCATTTTGTTCACATGGCTTAATACAAAAGTCACTAGTGTTTTTTCCAGTAACTTCTTTTAAAAATGCAGTCCTATTTATCTATAAGGAAAAATAACAGAAATGTACCTGTTCCAGTAGCTCCAGAACTGGTCCTGCAAGTAGGCTTGGTGGCTACTTTCATCACCAAATGAGGCTTTGCTTTCAATCCAGTGAATTATGTGTCCTTCAACAGCTAGGGTGACAGCAGAAAATAAAGTGAAGTCTGAAAATCAAACTCAACAGCCGGCAAGAATGTGTTTGGGAATATCCTATTTACCCCCCAACCTAGTACGTAATTCATGCTTGCAACAGAGTTACATATTTGTAAAAATATCTTTCAAATATGCACATAGGACGTTTTAAAAAAAGCACCAGAAAATATTTTAATGGATATTTATATCAAATTCAGTTTTATTATACCCTGTTCTAGATATTTGCATTTATTCTAACACAAACAGAATATAAGGAAAAAGAGACTACATTAAGGCACAACTGCATCCTACTTTCAACCTTACTTTGCTGGAAAGGAGTTGTCAGGTAGGGAGTTGAAAACTTCCAGTGAATAACAGGAACAGTTAGGTAAGCTGCTAAAACCAGAAACTTCTCACCAATCCAGAGTGGAAGGTGTGAGAATGGCAAGAAAGTTTATCACAAACATATATCCGCTTCCTTACTTTTGAAAAATCAGTAATGCTTCACCAGAAAGAAGTTAGGAATAAGAAGGCTTATGTGAAAAAATGTGATTTTGAATTTGTTTCTTTCAATGCTGTGGGATTTGCTTTGGTTTGTGTCTTTCCTCATGTCTTGCAGGAGTGAATTTCTAATATTAATAAAATTATGTTTTTTGGTAAAAGTCCTCTCTGAACTTTGCAACCTCATTTTGCAGAAAAAGTCATGAGAATCACCCTAAAAGATCATTCTTTCTCAAAAAAGGTAATGTGGGGTATCGTTATTGAGGTCTTGAAAAATTTTTCCGTAATATTTTGGGTTCCCTATGATATCCACAGCCATGATGTCTTTGCCCAAGTGTGACCTGGGATGAGGTACTCAAAGGGCATGCAGACCCAGAAACACAATACAGAAAGATTAGAAGAGAGTATGGCAGCACATGATTGACCACAGACTGTAAAATTACTCAGGAAATCTGAGTAAATAACTCATGAAGTCACTGCACTAAGCTCTATATGCCACCACTACCCTGCTATCAGTAACCAAGTTAACTTACCATAGAAACAGAATCATAGAATGCTTTGGGTTGGAAGGGACCTTTAGAGGTCATCTAGTCCAACCCCCCTGCAATGAACAGGGACATCTTCAACTAGATCAGGCTGCTCAGAGCCCAATCCAACCTGACCTTCAATGTTTCCAGGGATGGGGCATCTACCACCCCTCTGGGCAACCTGTTCCAGTGTTTCACAACCCTCATTGTGAAAAATCTCTTCCTTAGATCTAGTCTGAATGTACCCTCTTTTAGCTTAAAACCATCACCCCTTGTCCTATTGCAACAGGCCCTGCTAAAAAGTTTGTCCCCATCTTTCTTATAGGCCCCCTTTAAGTACTGAAAGGCCTATATTGTGTAGGCCTACACTACTACATCCTCCCCCCAGCCCCCCAACACCTTTAGACCCTAGGAGATAAAATAGCTGAGGCATAAACTGTGTAGTCAGTTGAGAAGCAATTTCTAAGAAACATTTGCCTTTCCCAGCTATGTGCTGAGTCGTGAAGAGAATGCAAGGACTGCCATACATTAGTTCAGATCGGACAGCAGGTAGAAAATTACTTCCTGCCAATCTCAACTGACTGAAATAATTTGAAGAAAGTAATGCACTATCACTATTTTGATTTTTAGAGACAAATCCATGCAAACAAATTAGCGGCTATTTTTAACCTTCTTTCTAATAAGGTAGTATTACAAACCCAGGAATTCTTTTGGGTGTTTCCCAGTTTCCCTTCTCAAGCATTAAAAAAATGAGGTCCATCTAGTTGCTTTCCTAGTTTCCATTTAAGCAGGCTCCTGAATAGCCAGGATATAATCTTATCTGTTTCTAATGTAAAAGCGAGCATCTTAATACCAAGTACGTATTGTGTATGTTGTAGTCCACACTATTGGGGAATCTTATTAATGTATATAACTACCTGAAGGGCAGGTGTTAAGAAGAGGGACCCAGGCTCTTTTCAGTGGTGCCCATTGACAGGACCAGAGGCAACGGGCACAAACTGAAACATGGGAAGGTCTGTCTGAACATCAAGAAACCTTTTTTTTACTGCAAGAGTGACTGAGCACTGGCACAGGCTGCCCAGAGAGGTTGTGGAGTCTCCATCCTTGGAAACATTCAAAAGCCATCTGGACATAGTCCTGGGCAACCAGCTCCAGGTGACCCTGCTTGAGCAGATGACCATCAGAGGTCACTTCCAGCATCAGCGATTCTATGATTCTGTAATCCCACCATCTTTCCTGCTACTTTAGACTTCATAAAAAACAACAGTTCCCTCATCCTGTCAAGTCCTTGGTAGTTCCCTCATCCCCTCAAGTCCTTGGTAGCTTCCTGAGACCCTCCACAAATAAGAGGTATGGAAGTGAAGGAGTAGAAATTAATTGAAAACTCTCCAAGTGTGGCTTGACAAGAGTGAATTGCAGATTATTAGGATGCCAAATCTCACTATTTCAAATATGGACTGGTTCAGTTACAAAGGTATTTTTACTTTGTACATATAACCTCTTATTAACATCACTACCATTTTTCTTTTGTGGAAATGTGATTAAGAATACAAACAATTGAACTAAGCAAAAGCTTTTCAGAAGACTCTCATATACATAGTTGTTTATCTATTGGATAACAGATTACTGAAAGATGATATCTCAAGCACTTCTGAGTCGTGAGACATTTTATAGTACACACTCAATGCCTTATAACCAGTGTACAAATCAGTTATCTCAGTGTCGTGGTTTAGCCCCAGCCAGCAACTAAGCACCACGCAGCCGCTCGCTCACTCCCCCTACCCCGATGGGATGGGGGAGAGAATCGGAGGAGTAAGAGTGAGAAACACTCCTGGGTTGAGATAAGAACAGTTTAATAATTGAAATAAAGTAAAATAGTAATGCTAATAGTAACAGTATAATAATGATAATAAGAATAATGATACACGAAGCAAGTGATGCACAATGCAATTGCTCACCACCCGCCGACCGATACCCAGACAGTTCCCAAGCAGCGATCGCTGTTCCCCGGCCACCCCCCCCCCAGTTTATATACTGAGCATGACGTCATATGGTATGGAATAGCCCTTTGGTCAGTTTGGATCAACTATTCTGGCTGTGCCCCCTCCCAGTTTCTTGTGCGCCTGGCAGAGCATGGGAAGCTGAAAAAGTCCTTGACTGGCATAAGCAGTACTCAGCAACAACTAAAAACATCAGCATGTTATCAACATTCTTCTCCTACTAAATCCAAAACACAGCACTATGCCTGCTGCTAGGAAGAAAATTAACTCTATCCCAGCCGAAACCAGGACACTCAGTAAGAATTCCAACTGTTGTCAATATGAAGAATAAAAAACTAGTCACGGATATGACTTTCACACAGTGCTTTCAGCATTCTTATTTTCTCTGATAGATACAACAGTAGGCATCTGCATAGATGGGTGCTGTGTTCTATGGAGGCAAAGCAGAAGTCTTTTGGCATGAGTCAATTTACAAAAAGTGATTAATAATCCTTTACACTTGGACAATACGGATTTTTTTTTTCTTCCATGGCCCAGCCACCAGGTCATCTGATTACCTTCTTACATGGCCTCAAGACCAGAAAATGTAGATGAAATTTGACATGACCTTTATACATACTTTTACTCCTTGGTTCTTGCTATGCCTGCTTTTAAAAAACAGTAGAGAACTGCAGAGTTGTATTTAGATGCAAAGTGATGGCGAAAGAATAACTGCACAATGACAAACCTTTACGCAATGACTTATAGGTGTAATGGTAATCCTCTTAAGACTGCTTTGAACTGATTGGGTCTAGAAGTTTAAGACAATCATAGGTATTTCAGAGTTCAGTTCATAAAGACAGTGGGCAGAGCAGGTTAGAGGGAGTAAGGATTTGGATGTTCTTATCATTGCCTGTTTTTTTGTTTTTTCTTTTTGTGATAATGAGACAAAAACATCCAGAGACCAAAGAGGAAACACTGAGTAATACTACTTATGACCAAAACCCCTTCTGACCAAAACTAGAAGTTCTTAAAATTATTGGGTAACTACTGAAGAGAGAGACTAATTTGTAGTATCCTATAATATACTTCACTTAAAGTAGCCATAATATTTTAGCATGAACACTTCTCCACAAAATAATAAAAATTCTTTTAAAAGACTTACCCACTGGCACTTCTAAAATAAAGTCTGGTGTTTTGTCATAACCCTTTGCACGAAGCTGATCTTCAGCTATACATAGAGAATAAGAACTATCGTTTATAAAACTATTCTATTAAGTAGACAGCAGTATAATTAATTTTATTTTAAATAAGAGTGCAGGAATTACTAATGCAGTCATACATATCTTTCTTATGCATGCAACGCTGTGTCAGATTAAATGAACCTTCGTAGAAAACCTGAAGCATGGATATAAAAATGCTTCTTTGTCATCCCTGCATTTTTATGTCTTCATTATAAACATCATTAATTCAAGCTGTCATACAGTATTTTATAACCCCCAAATATTCAAAATAAAGAGGTATATTCGCTGATTGAAATAAGAGTCTCCCCACATTAGGAAGCTGTTAAGATTAATCCTACCAGCACCACAAATGTAGATATATTGTAGCTGCCCTCTTGGTTTTATTTTAATGTTAGCATAAGGTTGTTAAAAAAAGAACAGGAAAATCCTTCTCTTCTAGAAATTTATTAAAGGAGAGAGAAGCCACTATTTTAGTTTCTCTTGCATTCAGCATTCTACAGTATTTATCCAATTTCAGAACATACAAAGATTCAGAAATTCTGTTAGCATTAACTATACAACTCTACTGCTTACAAATATTAGAGCTGAATATTTCAAGAAACAATAATGAGTGAGCAAGATAAAACTGCAAAAGACAAAAGATGCTTCCTTTAAAAAAAAAAAAAAAAAGCCCAAAGCAAGCCCTTAGTATTTTCTAAACTATTGTCCTTGATTTCCGATACCATTACATTGGTATTTCTGAAACACCATTTCTCCATTAGAATTTGGAGTGACCTGGTCATTCAATTCCAGGCATGGCTTTCTGTCTTCACCCAAGCTCAACTAATGGCACTACCTAGTAACAAGTAAGAGTGTGTAGCCCCTTAACACCTACTGGGCTGTTGACATTGTCATGCATCCCATTCGCCTTTCTACATCACCTTTGATTAGAATTAATGGTCCATTCTCACTGTTGGGTAGCTTATTTCCAATCCATTTATCAGGTTAGGACAGTAGTTTCATGGCCAATGTTCAGAACTCAGTTTTAGAATAGTTTGTGCATATCCTGAAAGGTCAGCAGTTTGAGTCCAAGTAACATTTTAATGACAAGAAAAACATACACTCTTAGAAATCAAAATATTTTAAAAGTCCCTAAAGCAAACTTTACTCCTCTTTCTCATTGAAGAGTATAACTCTGAAGTATTTCTTTTTCTATAGTGAACTAATACTGAAAGCGCAACAGGAGTAATTTTGGAAAGTTATACATTCTCTTATGTGTAAACTGCAAAAGCTGTTTATTCTTTTTCAAAGTATTCTTTTTGATTTTCTTTTGAAATTTGAGAGTATTTCTTCACTGTAAGCACCCTATATTGTAAATACAAGTCTTTGCAATGCAACACTTCATTACATCACCTAATCAGCTATTAAACTTTTCTAGGATTTGGAGACAAACTTGGCTGTTGGCTATTTTTTCAAAGATCTTCAGGTATATGGATAAAAGATTTTTAGATTAACAAGGTTTTCATTTAACAGAACCTACAAATAGAGAGTTTTATGCCATAACATAAAAATGAATTATGTTCTAAGTAATCTCTTAATCTTGATAAAAATAAAGAATAATCCAATTTTACGCAACTCTATTTAACTGTAACCTGCTCTTAATTGTTTAGAACAGTCTAGAAAAGACAACAGGATGTCCCAGCTGAAATTTTCATTATTTAAGAACGCACAAATGGCAACAGAAAGTTCAGTCTTTTCTATCACATCTAACAAATGCTAGTATCACCAATTCAGGGAAATTTACCTTAAAAAAACCCACTGAAAACCAGGACAGATGTAAAAACATTTCCTGATGGGTCAACTTGGCAGGTTTCTGAACTGGAGTTTGCATCAGCGTTACTTTTAATATTCTTCAGCAGACTCTTTTTTCAAGGATGTCCAATTACTTTAAAAATCATTTGACACTAATGCATGGCTTGAAAAAGAACATGCATTTTGTTTTAAATCTGTTTCTGAATGTTTTCACTTGGTTTCTCCTAACATTTTTATTATGATAAACATTGGAAAATACGTTAAAAACCACATTTATTATTGATGTGAGTTGTTTATCATGTGCAGGAGAATAATTATATATTACTCTTTCTTCAAGTATTTGAAGCTTTATAACTTTGGGGAAAAAAAAGAAAAATAATTACAGAAACTCCCCATAATCACCATAAACTTTCTTTTTTAAACCAAAAACCAAAACAAAAAAATAAAGAAAAGAAGTTCTAGCTTTTCAGTGTAGGTATGTTTCACATTGGTCCAGAAGCTAGAGGTAGCATTCTGCACCTTAAAAGATCTTTTAGCTCTTGCACAGATGAAGAGAACAATTTAACAACTGCTTGAAAGCCAGCCACAGCAGCTTTGACAGTTACATTTATGCATCCTCAGATTTGAAAATTATATTGAAACAGCCCTAATAAGTAGCTATTCTACAGATTCCCCATTAATTTAGATTTCCAACAAAACTGGAGCTTCATCTTTACCATAACGTCACACTCAATCATAACCATTTAACACATCGTTGTTCTTATACTAGCCTCTGGATATAACAAAGAAACCAAACATTATTCTGTTGGTGCATGAATGAGCAGCAACTGCAAATTTAAGATTACAGCAGAAAACACCGATCAGGTTCATGATTTACATCCAGGCTACTACTGAGGGACATCATGGTGGGAACCAAAGGACTATAAGATTCCAGACGAAGGTCAGAACCTTCCCATTATAGCTAAATCTTTCCTAATATATTCAGGCAAAGATATAAAAAAATAAAGATCCTATATAGAACCTAGACATTCCTGGCATTTCAGTATGGCAAGTGAAGCTGTTATCCTGGTTTGAGAGAATGCTTCCATTGATCACTTTAATCTCAGGCAAAGTGATAAAGACTTGAGAGCTGTGTTTTTGCTGAAGAGAGGACGTGGTATATGATGTGCTTCTCATGAACGGCAGATTAATACAATGCAAACCCCATTAGTTTGCATAGGTTTCCAATCAATTTCTGGGTGAATCTGAAGGCGTTACTTCTGATCTGTAGGCTTTGAAAGCTAACTGCTCTAGAAACAGACAAATTACATCCCGGACCTGAAAAGCTGTTTCATGCTCCAAGACTATACTGGGGCAATTTATATTCACTGTGTCCTTTGACTGTGCTTTCTTCTCCTGTAGCAGACTCTCTGTTGCCCAGGTGAACATAGCTGATACAAAAAACTTACTATTGTTGAAGAATAGTACGCTGGAATAGTACACTGACATGGAAACTGCAAGAATTCTGTTTCTTTAACACGTCTTAAAAAGTAATGGAATTGCGAGTACGGCTATCTAAGTCATAAGCGATATTCAAAACTGGAATGCAGTCTTACTCATAGCCTAACAAAACCTGAATTTGTTGACCTATTGGAAATACTGTCATCTCTTCTGTTTTCCTGAGGTTTTCTTCAAGCAGTTTTGGAACTAATTTTTCAGAAAGACTTTATTGCAAGGGGTTCAGTAGGCTTCATCTTGCAGATACTTAGGAAAAGCTTTTTTTCTTTCTTTTCTAAAAAAATCACACCTAGAACCTTAGAGACACATGCAATGCACAGAAATAATAAATACAACCACTTAACATATCTTAAATCATGACTAAACAATACTTCAGTATACATAAAATGTAAACAATAAATTAAGCTCTCTCATTTATATCTCTATATTCTAATGAGTTAACCCATTCTAGATATTTCCATTTGACAGCACAAATTTCTTAGATCTTATTTGTAAAGACAAAATTCATGCTTATCCAAGGTCACAAAACATTAAAATTTAAATCTGATCTGTGTACTACACGAGCTTGCGCAAGCCAAGTAAAATTATAATCGTTGGGTTGAGGATCCATTAGTGAGTCATCTAGTCCATTCCCTTGTATCGTGACAGGATTGATTTCATTACCAGCTTTGATGGATGAGTGTCAAGTCTAGCCTTGAATTTTTCATTGAAGGTGATTCTGTAACCTTCCCTGGCAGCTTGTTTTATACTTATTGTTCCTAAAACTGTTTAGGATTTTAACTTAACATCATCTCTGCAATTACAGCTTAAGCCTATTACCTCTATCTCTGCTCTTATAGCCAAGTAGGAAAAACTACCTCCTCACATTTTCACAGTGTCATTTGCAAGTTTGTATGCAACAATTATTCCTGTCTTTTTTTCATTTTTCTTTAAAAGAGCACACTAACTCTGTTCCCTGATCATATGGACAAATCTTTTAAAAACCTTAATATTTTTTCTAATTTCTTAAATTTGTTTAAGGTTTCCAAAATCTTAACCTGAATCTAGCTTTAGGAGAGATCATAGTTTCTGGTAAAACCAGCAAAATTCCCTGATCACACAAATTTAGTACAACACTCAACCATTAACAAAAGACAGCATTTCACTTTGTTATTGTCTCATCACATAAGGAATCCAAGATTTAAGAAGTCATTGTTAAGTTTATTATCACAATAAGAGAAAAGATGCTTTAAACACTAATTGTTTTAATGGCACTCATATACAAGAAACGTTGTGCAGGCTAAAAGAAAAAAATGAAAATAACTTCCTAACTAATTAATCCTTAAAATAACTTTAAATATAGGGATTGCATTGGTTGGGAGGCAGGGGGCAAAAATTCAGCAGAAACTGCACAGAAAGCTAAATGAGTGAATCCTCTAGCAGTTCTTTAATACATAAAGCATTTTGAAGCTAATATTTCTTATGCTTCCTCCTAAGTCTCATAAGGCCCAGATTATGGCTAATATCTCATGACACCAAAAGTAATACTGCAGCAGATATTAAAGCATTTTTTTCAACTACTTATTCTATAAAATATTAATTGCAAGCCTGTGCATGTGCTGTATATATAGGGTATTAGGTAACTGAGTTCCTGCTCAGTTCTAAATCAATAAAAGATAACATGTACAGCATCAATCATTTTTTACTCTTCCTTTACTACCTAATACAATGAGCGTTGAGGCTTATTTTTTTCTTAAGTAAACAGTCACTGAAACCTTTGAAGTTAAGGATTCACTGGCTAGCCTCTACTACAGATTCTTACCTATGAAAGAGAGATTTTTTTCCAAGAGCATTTCTCGCAGCAAGACTTCGTGCTCATGCCCAATAGCACTGATAGCTTTAGGTTAAGAAATGGAAGATTACTTTGGAAAAGAACCAACTTCAGAAAAACATCATAGGTAAAAGTAATCAATTATAAAATTTATTGGCTTTCATCTGCATTTCAGAAGTGATCACTGATTTGAACTCTAAGTTTTGAAATTCCTTACAGGGATTTTCAGAGGCATTTAGCACGTTGTGAAGATCAGACTACTGTATCATCAGCATACATTTTACAAAATTAAGACCCATTAGACCATATTTACTCAGTAAAAATAAGGGTAATACTTCCATTCTTCCTTTATTTCCCTTCAAATTTAAAAGAAAATGTGAGCTTAAAACATGTCGTTAAATACCTTTTAAGTTCCTTTTTACTGACTAGTGTATCAATTCTTTAATTCAGCAAAGAATGAAATAAACTTTCTTTCTTTGTATTTTGGAATGGATAGGCACACATCCATCTGAAACATCTTACTGTAAAAAAACATCCTTTTAATTGATTTTTCAGAAGCATGAACTAATGTCAGGTAAGGATGAAATAATATTTTATAGTGAAGTCCTTTTCACTTCACTGACAGCCTGTTGATCCAATGCGCTATTCTGAGCAGTATGTAAAAATGTCACCACATCAAATATTTTTACTGTATCCTTCTGGAGGTCAAAGTTCTATTGTGGAAGCTTTTAAGAAGAAGCTTATGGAACATCACGATAAAGGATCTTACATTAAAAATAGTTAAGTTCCTAATTCTGTTTAGAATAACTTCTGAAAACTTAAACTACAGATCACCTTACCATTAGAGTCAATTACTTAATTTATATCAACACTTCATGCTGAACAGCAAAAAACCTAATTGTACGGAATCATTTCATACATAGACAGTTTTTATCAATTGAAACTATATATTATGTTAAACTCTACTAGCAGTTACAGAACAAAAGGGGCAAATGAAGAACAGCAAAAATGTAAGAAAAATACTGCAAACAGAATTTATAATGCACCATAAGCAGAAACACTTAGACTTAGTCTATAATAATACCTGTTATTGATGTATGGCAATGACCATGGGGCAAAACTTGTAAATAACCTCACAAGCCATTTTCTACTCATGCAATCTAGCAGCCTAGTTTCCCGTAAGCATCTGAACTATTACTGAAAAATAGCCTCTTGGCATTTACAAAGAGGTTGACTTCATACTTTAGTCCATGCATATACAATTAGATAGTTATATTTAAAATCAATATGCAATCCTTCAGAAGACATTATGCTTTTAAAACCTTAACTTTAAATTGATTTTTAACTATTTTATGCACCTCAAAATTAACATCTAATTCAGCAACATACTTGCAGATAATGCACTCGTGCAGCTTAGCATTAAACTTTTCTGTACCAAAATGGAATTGAAAAACTCCTCATTATTCTCACTGATGTCACTGTGTATTCAATAACTTCACTTGAACCAGAATCTGAAGAGGATAGAAAAGACTTTTTTAGACTGCAGGCAAGTTATTTTTATAAACTGTTCATAATTCTACATATGTGTTATTATTACTTTTAAACATGACACTTGCAAAAGACTATAGCCAGATTGTTCATCAACAAAATATTAATCTTAAAATTCTGGATATGAAAATTAATGATGAACAACCTTTTAAAAAGTGTAACTTATTAGATTAATCTGCTTTCAGAGAGCTGTGTTTAATGTTGAAGATAGTCTCAATGAATACTTAAAATTATGATTAAAACCACAAAATACAAATACAAATAGAACTCTACCTTGCTGATGTTAAAGTTAACGGGAGCAGGGCTGAGTCTGTAGAAGACACCAGGCAAGTATTTCTAGTGGAAAGAATGTATTTTTAAGGGGTGACCACCACATGTATCACAACTACAAAAGTGTTGTTTCTCATGCATAACTAAACATCACTGTAGCTTTCCTATCCTGCAACTGTACAGTGAAATCAAGATCTTCCCCCAGACTGCATGCAAGGATTCTCTAGGGCTTGGGAAGGAATTGCTTTTCTAGCCTGCTCGGTAATAGTGGGCCATGATTTTGAAATTGTTCCTTTGATAGACCGAAACAGAAGAGCTACTCATTCAGGACTTTATTAAAACAGATTTGGGGTTGCAGCGATCATTCATAACAAATTATAATCTTAGTCTGGAATAGTCAGTCCTGTGTGGAGTTCCCCCAGTATTCTCACTGGATACTGAGGATCTCAAATTAACCATTTCAACGCTACAAAAAACCAAATCCCTTAAAATTCATACTACATAGGGTTTTTTTTATAGCTAGCCTCATCTCCTTTAAGAAGAAGAGAAAGTAAAAGAACTGCACTGGAATGTCAGATACGAGTTTAAAAATACTAATTGGTGAATCACACCTGAATTAAGCTTGAAAACATTCCAATTAAAACTCATATTTGTAACAAAGCAATGCCATAATGTTGAACACTATCTATGCAACTTATTAATTTAATCACATAATAGTTGAGATTGGAAGGTATCTCCAGAGGTCATCTAGTCCAACTCCACCGCTCAAAGCATGGTCAACTAGTTTTAATAGAAAACCAGACATGCATTTCAACTAATCAAAACCAAAGAGGTTCAATCAGGCATATGAACGTGTAGCCACCAAACTGACAACTTCCTGTGGTCCATCTGATTTTTGTTAAACAGTATAAGAGAAAGGTCTGCAGTGACCCTCTAGCTGATTGAATGTAAACCAGAGGAGTATGAAACGTGTTTTGTGAAGCAGAACTTTATGTCAGGTTAAAGCTAGACACATCTCTTCCACACAGTCTAAGCTCGTCAATTGTGCACCTAAAATTTTATGGGAAAGGATACTGTTTGATGCAGTCCACCAGTGGTCCATAACAACAGTCATTCACAGTACACTGCAGACAAATAAGAGAAGTAGTATAGTGATGGGCCACTACAAAACCATTATAGTTAAACAGTACCTTAAAAACAGTAATTACTTTTCTTCAAAAAGGCTATCAGATGCTCTTCAGATTTAATCACAGAAAAAAAAAATGCATGTTTTTATTCACTATAAAAGCAAGCTATTAAAAAGTGAAATGCTCCCCTCACAAATATTGCATTGCCATTTATGGTGCACCCTGACCTCACTGATAGTTTACGATGACAGTAATTAAATGAGGTTTAAAATCTTTTACTCTGCTAGGCAGATAACAACATTGCCACAGGAAAAAAAAAAAAAAGACAAAAAAGAAAAGACAACTGTGATTAATACCTGATAGACTTGATTTGCTAGAACTCCATCTGGAATCTGAGAAGGGTCCCGTAGCATACTATTTATAAGAGTTTTGGAGGCTAGAGAAATAAAGAATAAAAACATACAAAAACCCTGTTAGCTCAGTTATCCACTTGGCAGGAAGACAGACATACTTTTATAAGGAAAATATTGATAATGTTGATAATTTTGAAAATCATCCAACCAGCAACTACAAACCTATAAATTCATAGCTACTTACCCATTCTGATACGATTACCTCGAAAAGTCTTGAAACACTAAAGGATTTTATTAGCACAGGGTGAAAGCAGGGCCTTGTTTACCTACTCAGTTTCACTGGACAGGTTGTGCTTCAGAAGCATCATGCAGCTCCTAAGGAAACCGCTTAGTATAAAGAAAATGTAACTCAAAATAACCTCCATACCCTATGAGAACTTAAGGAAGAAGATATTTGAAAAGTCGAAACAGCCTTTAAAAAAATGTTTGGTCTCAACAATCTTAAACACTTTATAGATTTGATGACTCCAGTTTAGTAGTTTTCAAATTTATTTATTTACTTATTTAGTGTTGACACATTTATTTGACTGTATTTAAAAGCTGGCAAAAGGCTTTCTGCTATTTTCAAATGTATAAATCTAAGACACAAGAGAAATCGGAAGTGAATTTAGGACTATTTATGAGTCTTTTATTCAGTGATATTGATACTACAATGAAAAAAATAACATAAATCAGGAGATGCCTGTAGTTTATTTTCAAATACAGTCCTTGCACTGGCATCTCTCCAGATGCTTAATCTGGGTAGTTGCATATACCAGTTAATTACTAATAGTAGTGGAAAGACTTTATTCTAGAAAAATGCCTTCTAAAAACATCAAACATTTCATTTCACAATGTCTCAGAGAAAAGACCCCACTCCAGCACAAGCTGCCTCCTTCCTGGGAACAACTGCTGATAGAGTTCAGCTGGTGGTATAGTTATACCATTGAATCCTTAAGTGTAGACCAGGCTTGAGACCAGCAAGGTTCCCTGCTTTGCCAAAGATTTCCTGAGTGACTTCAGGCAAATTCCTTTAACCTGTGTGTGCTTCAGTCGTGTAAACAAAGTGAAAAACTACTCTTTTCCTGTTCTTCATCCATTTTACCCAAACTCAGGGCCAAAGCTCCGTTGCTTTCTTCAGTGATTGAATCGAAAGCCTCAGATGACACTGTGAAAAGCATTCCTGGAACCTGTGACATGAAGGAATCTGCCATATAAGCAGCAATGCCACTACTATTAATGAACGTGTGTAAATGCTCTGCTGAAAGTAAAGGAGACTGTCATTTTAATCTTCTTCCCAAATGTTGTCTCCTAAAAGCATCACATTCAGTTGAAAGTAGTATTTTCACGAAAATATTTTGTTTAGAAAACTACACCCTAATGCACAGGAATATAGAACCCAAAATGAGTTTAAAGGCTTTGCAAGAGCTACAAAGAATAGCATAATCACAGGCAGGAGCAAAAGTCTGTGTAAATGTTTTTAAACAGAATGATATACTAAGCGAAAACAATTCCAGATGCATCATACCATATTACATATTTGTATCTTATTCATCTCATATGAAATAAGCATTACTTTTATAAGCGAATAGTAAGAATAAATAGGCATTTTACTTTAGCTTTTGTACACTGTTAAAAATGTGTTTTGTACACAGCATAAAACCTTTGAAAATGTGAACCAGAAGGCAGTGCATGTATTTATTAACATGAAAAATTAAAATAGTAACAATTTTGTAGTAGGCAGGAATAATACACAAGTAACAGTCTGCCAACAGAGAGGTTGATAGAATGGTAGAATAATGAAGAGTATAACTGAGGAAGATTGAGTAGAATTCACTGTTTTGAAGGGCTACTGATTTAAGTATCATGAATTGATTATGAAAAAATTAAGCTATTTTATGACTGATCAAAAATGAGAATAACCCCACAGATTCACATTAGGGAAATGTTTAACTGGACACTACTTTGAGTAATGAGCTACAGGTGCAAAATAAATTTCCTCTATTTCTGAGACTGTCAACGTCAGTTTCTCAGTTGAAGTTACCAGACATTCTATTCTTTACCTATATCAGAGTAATAATGAATTGAAATACTGAATTTTGTATTATGCTGATGTCATATTGGTTCTACAAGGTTATAAATTAAGCCTTTAAAAGAAAAGGCATCAAACAAAACCAACTACTATATTAGGTTTCAATAAATTATCTTTCCTTCTTATATAAACATTATCTGTTTATGTAATATCCTGCAAAATTAAAAAAAAAAGCCTGCATATTGTTAATTTTGTATTACCTATGCAGCTAAAATAAGGTATCTTCAACTGTAATTCTTTTTTCAGAAAGCCAGTTACTATGGTGGCAGCATACCAACAGGCTGATTGTGTAAAAACCAGAACAGAACAGAACATGGAAGTGCTAAGGTTTTTGTGTGGACAATAATGCCAGTCAGAAAGTTTACTGAAACACTATCCTTGCATAGGTCTTTTGGGTTCATGCATAGATCATTGGGTTCATGAAAGGCAGGTCCTGCTTGACCAACCCGATCT